ATATTTTTTGTGAAAACCATAAAGTCACCTTACTTTTTAAAACCTCTTGTCTTTAAAAAAAATGCCCATGTTTTTTCTTTTGCTATTTGAAATTGTTTATATCAAATTATTTAAACAAATTACCTAAAATTGATTATTTTTCAAAATTAAATACGGCAATCGATTCTACAGGAAAAATTATAAAAAAATTGTATATATCACTTTGTCGTCACACTTTAATTGGTTAGTCTAAAATGACTCAAATGTGTAGTTTCAGAATCTTTGAGGCCCGTACTTACCCCGATAATTCAATGAAAAGGTTGAATGGATAAATTTAGAAAATTAATTTTGGAATTTAAGTATTTTCAATCCATGTTAGAAATCACGATTGAGTGGCGGGCTCATGGTTTTATGCATAATTTATAGAATTATACATACTTTCTATCTAAAATTTTGGTGTTTACTTTTTTGGTGTTCAAGGTTATAGTTTTAAGCTTCAAAGCTTCATCTAATAACGAAAATAATTTTTTTCTATCCGAAATATTTTTTCATTTCATATACTTGAAAAAACGAATAATGCCAAGACTAAGAGTTGAAGAAATTGAAAATTGATCTGAAGTTAATGATATTGACCAATGATGAAATTTGACATGTCGAATCACATTCATTCCTAGCAATCATGAGATGATTATGATTTATTAAATATTACAGTTCATTACTATTGATTCTTATGAACAAATCAGAAATACTTACGTATAGTAATACTCAATAGTTTTCGAAACAGAATCTTTTTTTTGATTGGCAAAAAAATGCTTTTAATCACACCTTAACTGTGAATGATGACAATCACTACAATATCACATCAATTATGCATTTATTTCTTAAAAACTCTTTTGAGTTATTTGAAATATATTTTTCAAGTTCGATGAAAAACTATATTATTGAAGCTTCATCAAAACACAATTTCGATTTGTATATAACGGATTCGAAAAAAATTATTGGCAATATAATTATAGCTATTTGAAATTCAAGAAAGAATCTTTGTGATTATTGTTTTACTAAAATCACTTTTTTATAAGGGGAAAATCCTACAGTGCCTAGTTATAGCGGAACTCATCATAAGGAATACAGTTATTGAAATCAAGAGACGAATTAGCTTTTATGAACTTAAACATAAAGATAAAAGTAATAAAATTTGAAAGGCAGCGATATGATTATTTTCGCGATAATAGTATGTAGTTTGGTTTCTTTGACTGCAATTCATTAATCGATGAAGTAATGGTAAAGTATTTTGGAAGGTTTACTATAAAACAAATTATATAGGAATCAACTAATCAGATTTAGCATAAAGGTATGGGACTTTTTCGGCAGATGGAACATATAAAATTTTAGATTGTAATTTCTATAATAAATTTCTAAATTTATACAGGTAAAGCAAGAGTTGATGAAAGGAATCTTCTGTCTTTTTTTTGGGATCTAAAGTTGTTATGAAGTTACTTTTACTCCTATTAGAAGCAACTAAAAAATAAGATCTTAGCAAATACCATGTATACTTAAACAATTTCTTCACCAGTTCGGATCTTATGGTTCATCTAGAAAAATAGGGTTGTTAACGACTAGAACTGTCAGACAAAATCGCGCGAAAGAGAAGGTTGAAATTCCTAAAAAGGCTGAAAGAGGAACTGCTATTGCTGTACATGATAAAAATTTGAAACTGAACTATATCACAGTGATGGATTCAAAACCTGTGTCCATTCTTTTCTCGAAATATGGGGATAAACCAAAAATTGAACACAGATGGCATGAGTTATCCAAGCGATTGATTCCATTTTCTCAAGCATTTTCTTAGTACAACCAAAACATGGGTGGAGTTTATCTGCATAATCAACATTGCAATGCATTGATGTCGTTAGTTAAAAGTAAGAAATGGACATGATATCTCATTTTACGATTTCTTCAACCATCGCTGACTAATGGCACTGTTATTTCTAATAAATTTCATCTATACTTGCCCAAAAGTACTAAAGATATTATACAAAAGGTGTACGAATATTATATTGAAAATTTTTCAAGTAAATCTTCTGCCAAGCCAAAGAGAACCGGTGATTGTTCATCTAATGACCAAGAAATAAAACAAGGTAGCTACAAAATATGTGCAACATCACCATTTACGACGAGAACTAAATTCTATTGTTAAAAATGTTGTATGTTCGTATGCAAAAGACACAAAGAAAAACATGTAAGCAATCCTGCATAAAAACTTAAACGTGCTATAAGATCAGTGGGATTTGGCGTGATTACCTTGACTATTTGGTTTGTTATTATTTATTGCAATTTTTCACTAACCAATTAAAGTTTAACGAAAAAGTGTTACATACATTTTTTTCACGATTTTTTCTGTAGAATTTATTCCCGTAATCAGTTTTGGAAAATAATGAATTTGGGTAAATAATGAATTTGTTTAAATAATTTATTATAAACAGTTAGAAATAGAACATTTTTTTGGATATGCTATGAATAGCATAGTTAGATTGACGATATCATACTCAGTTTCGGCATGGGCTTTGTGGATCGTTCGCAGTAGAACATATGCAAGTCGTTTTGTAGCATGACATAATGTATACCAGGATGAATAATCATGATATCCAAAATATGAAAGAATGACTCCGAAAAATTGATCGCGATTCTTCGATTTTGTATTTATGATACCTAATTGTTTTTGGATTTCTATTTTTTGAGTACTTGGTCCAATAGCGCTACCCCTGGTTCTCAGGGCTTATTATAAAGCGTTGAACTACGCACGATAGGCTTATGTATACAGCGCAAATGATGCAAAAGAGTTAGTTTTATCAAATTATAAACAAATTTGAGTTTATACATACATAGGACACTCCGGCAAATACTTTGTAAATAGAGTCTTAGTTTACATTTTAACGAACAAAATTCGAATAACGACCGTTTCATTACAGGTTATTGGATGCATTACTTGTTTTTTTATATGATGAATTAAGTTCAACCCATTGACGGATCGTTCATAGCAGCACATACGCGAGTTGTTTTTGAGCGTGGCATAATGTATGTCAGGATGAGTAATCATGATATCTGGAATATGACAGAGCGACTCCGAAAATTTGATTGCGATTCTTCGAATTTGTATTTTTAATAGCTAATGGTCTTTGGATTTTTTGTGTTTTCGGTACTTGGTCCGATAGCGCCACCACTGGTTCTCAGAGCTTGTTTGAAAGCTATAAAGCGTTGCATTACACACGAACAGCTTATGTATACAGTGCAAGTGATGTAAAAGAGTTAGTTTTATTAAATTACATTACTTGTTTTCTGGGATTCTCAAGGTGTGATTTTTATTGACTACTTGGAGAAGGGCAAAACGGTCACAGGACAGTACTACGCCGAACTATTGAGCCGATTTGACGCCGTATTAAAAGAAAAACGGCCCTATTGGTCTAAAAAGAAAGTGCTTTTCCACCACGATAATGCACTGGCTCACACCTCTGCAGTTGCCACGGCTAAATTGGTCGAATTACACTATGAACTGCTGCCTCATCCCTCGTATTCTCCAGATTTGGTTCCGTGCGACTTTTTTTGTTTCCGAACCTAAAAAATTCACTCGCCGGGAAGAGATTCCACTCTAACAACGAAGTAATCGCCACCATGGCATTACTTTGCAGACTAAGAGAAAACATTTTTTTCAACGGGGTTAAAAAAATTGGAACACCGCTGGATCAAAAGTATTCAACTAAAAGAAGACTACATTGAAAAATAAATTTTATTTTTTGCAAAATTTTGGTGTTTTTACTTGTAGATTAAGTACTTGTCAAATGGTCCTTGTATGCGTGAGCACAGGCAAGTACGTAGTGGAAATTCGAGGAGAAACAGCGAAACATAAAATAAGTACACACCACTTCAAGATAAAGATGGATGTTTATTTAGAAACATAGAGAACATACGATAGGTTAATGTCGCATCACATTAACCCATTAACGACCAATATGCTCAATTTTTTTGTCGATTTTCAACGCGTTTTTTCGGTAGTCATAGCCTAAGAAATTTTTGCAAACACGTATTTGGATGGGAAATTTAACGCTCTTTCAGAATCTTTTTTCAAAATTGCGATTGATTGCGTTATAAAAAAGTTATAGCCAATTAAACAATAAAAATCTGAAAAATTTTGCGAAAAATCAAGTTTACGATTTTTTTTAGTAATGTTACCGCTAAAAAATCATCAAACAAATATGATCAGAGATGATCACGACTATCAAAGTATCTCCAGGAATTTTGGTGGAATTTTTGAACCACTTCTTCCAACAAAATGGTGACAAAATAAAAAAAAATCCATAAAAAACATTTCTCATTTTTTATTTCGGAAACCATTAAGTTTAGATGAAAAATTCATTGAACAAAAAAGTCTGAGAATTAAACGAGAAATACGCCTGAATTTTTTCTGAATTTTTCGAGGCGATTTTTGGATTTTCGGAGAAAACGGAAAATCCATTTTTCGATAATCATCTCCAAAAATTCGGAAAAAATTGAGGCATGTTCCTTGATGAATTCTAAGACTTTTTGTTCTATAAACTTTTCCTCTAAACTCAATAGTTTTCGAGATAAAAAGTGAGTTAGGTTATAATCCTAGCAGCGTTAATATTTTTGATACAGAATAAAGAACAGCCATTCAACAATAATATAATATTGTTTTGCCTTTTTATGTGTATACAAGTGCAGTTTCTATAGCGTATACAGGCGTCCCTCGTTATACGCGGTTTTTTTAACCGCGGTTTTCATTATCCGCGGTCAATGAAAATGCACCATCCCTCGTTATGCGCGGTCATTCCCTCGATTATACGCGGTTCGAAGATCGATTCGGAGCAATATTCACGTTAGTCGTAAAATTTTATTGTTTTTTTTTCTAAACAAAACCTCAAAATTATTATATATCTATTTTTCTGCTTTTAGAAAACATTTATTAGTTTTCTAATAAAACTTTTATAAAAAAATCAGTTATAAAAATGCCTCCTAAACGCAAAAACAATTCTCCTGACAAACGAGTTGTAAAAAGAGCAAAAAAAGTTATGAGTCTTGAAGACAAAATGAAAATTCTTGACAGTCTTAGGAGAGGAGAAAAAGTAGTTTTCCTTGCTCAACAATATCAAGTAAGCTGCAAATAGTTTGCATAGTTTGCAATAGTTTGCAACTATATCTTAAGCAAAGAAGTAAAATACGACATATCAAACAGGTTAATGAATCAACAATCCGCACAATTAGAAACAATGAAAAAGAAATTAGAGAGACGGCTGAACAGGTGGGTGTACATGGTAAAACTGTTAAATACGTGAGAAGCACAAACATGGAAAAAATGGAAGACATGTTGTATATTTGGATAAAAGATAAAACCCGCCAAAGAGTTCCACTAAGTTCTGCAGTGATCCGTGAACAAGCATTATATTATTTCGATTATCTCAACAAGGAAATTTCAAAAACGAATGAGAAGATTACAGCTAGTAAAGGTTGGTTCGAAGGTTTTAAAAAACGATATTCTCTTCATAATGTCAAATTCAGCGGCGAAAGTGCTTCTGCCGACTATAAAGCTGCGACAGAGTTTCCGAAAGTTTTCAAGGAATTAATTGCTGAAAAAGGGTATCATGCATCACAAGTATTTAACTGTGATGAAACTGGCCTTTTCTGGAAAAAGATGCCTAATCGCACATTTTTAACAAAAGATGAAAACAAAGCGGCAGGTTTTAAGATTTCGAAAGATCGTTACACGCTGATGTTGTGCAGTAATGCATCTGGCACTTATAAGTGCAAACCACTGTTGGTTTATAAATCTGAAAATCCACGTGCTCTTAAGGGGAAACGAAAAGATCATTTACCGGTATTCTGGCAATTCAATAAAAAAGCATGGGTTACTGGTACAATTATGGAAGACTGGATATCAAAATCGTTTATGCCCGAAGTGCAAAGTTTTCTCAAAACAGAAAATCTTGATTTTAAAGTTCTTTTATTGATGGACAATGCACCTTCGCATCCAAAAAATTTATCAGATGCTCATCCCAACTTAGAAGTTTTGTTTCTTCCGCCCAACACAACGTCTTTGTTGCAACCAATGGATCAAACCGTAATATCGACCTTTAAGGCTTACTACTTACGCCGTGTGTTAAAAAATATGATCGCTGATATCAATAGAATTCCAGCAGGACAAGTCGACCCTACTGGAGTAGTGCGAGATTATTGGAAGACATTCTCTATTTTACAGTCGATACTTATCGTGCAGTCGTCTTGGGAAGAAGTCTCATCTTACACACTGAATGCAAGTTGGAGAAAATTGTGGCCCGAAATTGTTCAAGACAAACAGTCCGAATTAAACGCACAGCAAATTGCACAGCAGGTCGTAGAGGTTGCAAAAGGGATCGAAGCAGACGGTTTTAAAGACATGGAAGCAGCTGAAGTTGTGAACTTGATAAATGAGAACATTGATCTTACACCTAGTGCCCTTGTTGAGATCTTGGATCCGGGACATGTACCGGACGATGACGACGATCTTGGATCACAAGAAGAACCACCACATCTTTCGTACAAAACAGTGGCAAATACGATGTCATTAACTCAAGAGGCTTTCGAATTGTTAATTCTCAATGACCCGATAATGTCACGCAGTATTAAATTTAGACACGATTGCGAAGAAGCTATGCGCCCATATACAGAATTACAGTCAGATTTACTGCGACGAGCAAAACAAAGTCGTGTAACTGATTTTTTCAATAAAAAAAACTGATTTTTTTGTGAAAATTGCGTATTTTTGTAAGGACGTGGAACGCAACCCCCGATTTCCTATAAGACTAATGCTTTTTTATACGCGGTTTTTTTATACACGGAATTTTCAGGAACGAATTAACCGCGTATAACGAGGGACGCCTGTACTAATATACACATATCAAAAAAGCAATTCAGAAAATTGTATGTGAGCTCATTTTTATTACTTACTAGTCTCTTGTTATTTTGAGACCATACAGTAAATCGAATCGAAAAGATTATTTTCGCTTTCTAAAGTCTAGATTTGACAAGAAGCATTGAAAACTGTAGTAATTATTTTCATCAGGTATTTTTAATATTTTGTATAACATGTCCCAAAAACGTAAAAGACGTTCCACTCGCTCCCATGAAATGTACGAAATTGATACTTCAAAGAACACTTACGATGATATAGTTGTCCTTCCAAATCCTGACAATTCTGGTTCTGATGGATCAGATTTCGATACTGATTCGGATGATGAAATTTCTAATATAACGTACACAGAAGCTTGTAAAACATATACTGAAACTCAAACTAAATTAGAAAGAACGCATGAAACTCCAGTGGATGGAAGGAGAAAAAAAGTATAATGATAATTTGAAAGACAAAATTTTATTGAAAGACTCGGTAAAAAATAAAATACAAGAAATGGAGCCAGTAGAACTGTTTGAAACATTTTTCTCAACTGAAATGAAGCAATATATTATAGATGCTTGCAAAGAAAATAATTTTGATTTAAAGTTAAAAGACTTAAATACATTCGTGGGAATAATCATTTGACTTCATTCAACAAAAGGAAATCTCAGAGGGATTACTGGTCACGTGATCCCTTTTTATCTTGTAACGTTGTTTCTTCTGCTATGTCACGTAATAAGTTTGAAGAGATCAAATCCAAATTAAAATATTCACAAACGAAAGATAAAAATCCAACTGACTATGCTTGGCGTGTCCGTTCACTATTAAATCTATTTGAAATTAATATTATGAAGTTCGGTGTGTGGAGAACTGCTCTTTCCATCGATGAAATGATGGCTAAGTCTTATGCGAGGACGGTTCTAAAACAATTCATTCGTGGAAAACCCATACGATTTGGTCTCAAATTCTGGGGTCTTTGTACTTCCGATGGTTTTGTATTAGGTCTTGACTTATACTGCGGAAAAAATTCTACAACGGGAAGTAAATTTAGTAAGTGTGCATTAGGTTCTCGCGTTGTCATGAATTTACTAGAAAAGTTTTTTCGTGTTATACCTCCGAGCAAAATATCTAGTTTCATCTTTATTTTGATAATTATTTCACAAGCTTAGATCTCGCTGTGCATTTGCAGAAGCTTGGGCTAAAATGTACAGGTACTATTAGAGAAGATAGAGTCAAAGATAAAAATGTTCTAAATAAAAAAGCTCAAAGAGGTGAGTATGCCGTGAAGCACGATAAGAACAGTGGTATAAATTACATCACTGTGATGGATTCAAAACCAGTTTCGATTATTTTTACTGCTGTAACTCCATTATCCTTTTCAAATAGATACAGTAAGCAAGAAGGAAAAAAAGTTGAAATACCTTTTCCGAGGACTATTAGCGTCTATAACAGTTTTATGGGTGGCAATGATGTCCACGACGGACATTGTAACAATTTACTTCCGAGTATTCGTTTAAAAAAGTGGACATGGGTAGTTTTTTTAAGACTAATTCAAGCTTCGATTGTAAATACCACTGTACTATTCAATGCTGTCAATGATGAGAAAAAAAGGGTTGTAACAAAAGATTTTGCACTTTCAATAGCTAAAAATTACATGACGCAGAGACAATGCAAAAAAGAGAAACACAATATGTCCAAACAAACAAAACTCAAACTTTGTTCTTATTGTCCCGTAAGAACGAGAATTATCTGTGAAAAATGTGATTTATCGATTTGTGTTGAATGTTTCAAAAAAAAACACTGAAAAATTCGTATTGCAGTGAGAGACAAGGGGACTCACTCAAATCAAGCACCTCGAAAAGTGAGAGGCAAGGGGACTCACTCAAATCAAGCACCCCAAAGGAGACAAAATTCTACTACGTCCTCGTCGTTATCTCTGGGTCATGCTAAGAGTAGAACGTTTTTTATCTCGAAAACTATTGAGTTTGGAGAAAAAGTTTATGGAACAAAAAGTCTTAGAATTTATCAAGGAACACGCATAAATTTTTTTAGAATTTTTGGAGATGATTTTGGAAAAATGGATTTTCCGTATTCTCCGAAAATTCAAAAATCGCCTCGGAAAATTCTGAAAAAATTCAGGCGTATTTCTCGTTTAATTCTAAGACTTTTTTGTTCAATGAACTTTTCATCTAAACTTAATGGTTTCCGAGATAAAAAATGAGAAATGTTTTTTATGGATTTTTTTTAATTTTGCCACCTGGAGAAACTTTGATAGTCGTTATCACCTCTGATCATATTTGTTTGATGATTTTTTAGCGGTAACATTGCTAAAAAAAATCGCAAACTTGATTTATCGCAAAATTTTTCAGGTTTTTATTGTTTAATTGGCTATAACTTTTTTATAACGCAATCAATCGCAATTTTGAAAAAAGATTCTGAAAGAGCGTTAAATTTCCCATCCAAATACGTGTTTGCAAAAATTTCTTAGGCTATGACTACCGAAAAAACGCGTTGAAAATCGACAAAAAAATTGAGCATATTGGTCGTTAATGGGTTAAGAATTAAGTTAGCTATTGCAACATGAGCGAGAGAGAGTGAGAGTGAGAGAGAGGGAGACTTATGTGATGTTACTTATCAACTATTATTTGTATTTAGTTCGTACTCTCGTGGTTTGTCGCGTTATTGAGTAAGAATTCGTTTGTATTTAATGTAATGATATTAATATTGAATTTTAAATTTAAACTTATGCAATAAAACATATATGATTATTTGGAATATAATTAAGGTGCAACGGTAGTCAATTTAATTAATCGAACCGTTCGCGATTCTGCTTCTCGCGCGTTAGTTCGAACTATTGAGAGAGAGAGGGGGCGCGCGATCATTTGAATAAGCAGTTACACCTCAGCTGTGAACGCGAGTTACCGCCGATTTGTTTTCGCACTTTGTTTTCGCCGAGAAAAGTTTTCTCTGGGACAAATACGTGCAGGTGTGCAACGACGATATTGCAGCAGCGAGCAGTGGTATAGAAGCAGCAGATAACAGCTGATAGAGGAAGTACAAGGCGGAGCAGTTGATAATTGAGGGGCAACGGCAGTTGAAATTTTACAACAACAATTACGGCTGATCACCGTAATTGCACCGCATGGTAGGTGCACCTCCCGTCATATTTAGCTATACAAAATATATTCGATATTTTGTTTATTCGTGATAGCGTTATTTTTTGTAATCGCGCCGTGCGTTAGTTCGCGGTAGAATTCGAATCTTCTCTCTCTCTCTTTCTCACCGAATATAATTAAGTTGTAAAATCCTATTTTCGTTCGTCAGTCTTTCGGCCCAACAAAGACTGTAGTGATTTTTTTTATTAATTAAAGTCTGTTAAATTAATTCGCCGTTTTCGTCATTTGATTTCCCTGGCAGCTTAAGTATTTGAAACAGGCTTAGATTTTAGTCCAATTACATCTAGGGGATTAAGAAGATTAGGAGTAAAGTCGCTCACACTTAAAACTCATCAAGTGTAACAAGACACGTGACTTAAGGTGAGTTCAACTCTGATCGATAGAAGATAAATAGGATAAATCATCTGACGTTAAGGCGAATACTCGTATTATCATACGTGTTTAATGGAGCGGCGGTTTGCTCTGCATCGTGGGAGTTTGTTCTTTAATAAATTTCCCATTTTTAGATTTATTCCCCCCCCCCCCCCCCCCGTTACAAAGGATAGACTTTACTCTAGTTTCTTATGGTGCGAAGTCTTTCTTTGAAAAAAGATGTGATTCAGCTCAAGTTTCTCATAGCACGAAGTATTCTATGAGTCCAGCATAAGTCACAAATAGGAGAGGAAAGGCTTACTTAGGTAATCACAAGAGAGAAACAATTTGAGTATAAGCCAAGTTTATTTAATCTCGAGCGCTAACTTTGCAAGACTAGGAGAGAATACTCTGACCTGTGCAAAATAAGCCTATTTATATACAAAATTTATAATCTCACTTACGTAGAATAGCTCTTTTCACGCTGTTTATGTAAATGTACAAAATTATTTTCTCTTGTTTACAATAAAATGGACAGCGCTAAAAAAAATTTAATTAGTGTAAAAAATATAGAATTTAATATAGATAATTTAAGCATAATTTGCACTTATCACAAAATCGTAGTTAAAATTTATTAACTAACAAAATTAGTTCATTCAGTAGTGCAAATTTTACAATAAAATAATAAAAATTTTTACATAGAAACATAACTTATAGCTAATAGACATCATTACCAATAAGAAATAATTTAATTGTATAATAATATTTGAATAATAATTAATTTATCTTTTTGGACAATTCTTATAATGTCAATATAAAATCGGCTGATTAAAAAATTAAAAATTATCAATTCTAACAATTTTGTCAGTAAGTACAAAATCAACGCTTTCGATAAATATACTCTTATTTGTTTAAATAAATTATTGATTTTTTATTTATTGATAATATGTAACAGGCTGCCATTTAGTCGACAATCTCTTGAAAGTACCTTTATTCCGACTAGACGACGTCTTGTTATCTCTGTGCTCAAAGCACAGCAACCTACCTTGTCTCGGAGTGCGCCTGCGCAGGGTCTCCTAACTATTCCGAGCTGGGTTCCCCCAACTCGCCGCTTGGCGGCGCTGTCGCCCTTACTAGTAGCGCTCGTGCGGCCTCCGCTGGAACCCAAGTTGAAGATTCCCGCCTATCGATATTTTCGTGATTCGTGCTACGCTACCGGCGAATTCGAATCTACTGTAAACAAATACTGACGCGACCTCCGGACAAAGGAAAGACGAAATAACGACTATTTAATTTGAAGATGACGATTAATATTCACTT